ATCTGTATTTTTAGCAGCACCCCAGGTGATTTTTATAATCTGGAAAGATTTGGGCAAACTCTGGGTTTGAAGATGCTGCCTCTCAAAGTGAAGACGTAGCTTGCGAAGTTGGCCTAACAGAGGGACTCTGCGTCAAAAAGGCAGGAATGAAAACGGCAACATTTAAGAAAAGGTGAATTGGCAAAAAGTTGTAGTCCATATTTAATGATTTCCCATGACTTTCAGAAAAGAGCTGAGTCCGCAGACCCCCGCTGGCATCCAGGATGAGTGGAGTCCATGTGCTCCTTGGGATGCATCACAACATGCACATTATCACCAAGGGGCTCCATTGCGCCGTTCCATAAGAACTCGCTGTCACCCAAGCTCCCAGGCTGGAATTTCCTTGGACACCCTCCCTCTTTCATGAAAGCCTCAGCTTTAGGACTTCCTCTGATCAGATGACCTCATTTCCCTTCTCTGGGCCTCCTGAAGGCCTGGCTCTGGCACTCCATGGGGAGGCTAGAGGCCTGGACTGTCTGGGACAACAGAAGCTTAATCTCCACCCCCATTCTAATCACACCCCCAAGCAGCTGATCTTTCTGTGAGGGTGAGGACCTGGGGCCTGTGAACAGTTTGGGGCTGGAATCCCAGGAGGCCTTGAAAAATCCCGGGTTTGCTGCTGACTGGTGTGCCCAGGAAAGGACTGGCTGCTGTTGCAGGCAGCCACCCAGGATGGTCCCAGAAGTAAACAGTGAAATGGCTGAGATCCTCAATAGTGATAACAAAGCAGCTACTGTTGATTAGGCTCGCCCTGTGCCGTCCTTTTCATGAGCATTATTTCATTCATATCTCAGAATAATCCTCTGAGGTAGTTATTATTATACCCATTTTACAGAGGAGGACAGAAACTTAATGTGGTTAAGTAACTTGCCACTGTCTCACAGACAGCAAGTAAATAAACTTTCTAGGATTGGAGTATAATGTCCATAAAGAAAGCTGTAGTGTGCTGCCTAATGGATTATCACAAATGTACACACATCTGTGCAACCATCACCTTAAGGCGAGAATATTACCAGCACCAGAGAAATCCCTTCATGCTCTCTCCAATAATCACCTCTTCCCTGATGGTAATCATTTTTGTCACCAAAGATTAGATTGCTTGTTGTGAATTTTATAAAAATGGAATTGTACATGGGTCAGCCCTGGTGGCCTCATGGTTAAGTTCAGTGCTCTCTGCTTCGGCGGCCCTGGTTCAGTTCCTGGGTGCAGATCTACTCCCCTCTGTTAGTGGTCATGCTGTACTGGCGGCCCACATACTAAAAAACAGAGGAAGATTGGCATGGATGTTAGCTCAGGGTGAGTCTTCCTCAGCAACAACAAAAAAAGGAATTGTACGTTATGCTTTCTTTTATCTGGCTTTTTTTCCCCACTCAGTTTTTTTGTCTGTCAGACTGAGCTAATGGTATTAAGGATACAAGTAGCTTTTTCATTTTTAGTGCTGTAAAAATTTCCACAGTACGGATATACCACAATTTATTTATACATTTATCTGCTGCTGGTCATTTGGGTAGATTTTAATTTGGTGCTTTTACAAATAATACTGCTTGGAATGTCTTTCAGTGTATACATTTTTGGGTGGTATACACCAAGGAATGAAATTGCTGGGTCATAGCGTACACATACACTCAGGTTTAGTCGATACTGCTGAAGAGTTTTGCAAAGTGGCTATACCAATTCACACTCCCAGGAAACAGTTATGAGAGTCTGGGCAGATCCACATCCTCAGCAACACCTGATGTCGTTGGTCTTTTTTATTTTTGCCATTCTGGTGAATGTATTTTAGTTTGCATTTCCCTGATGACTAATGAAATTGAGCACTTTTTCAAATGTTGTTGGTCATTTGGATATCTCTTGGCCTGTTTGGGTCTTTTGTCCATCTTTCTATTGAATTGACTGTCTTTCTTCATGATATATAGGAGTTCTTTATGTTTTCTGGATATGAGTCCTGTGTCGGTTATTTGGATTGCAAATATCTTCTTCTCTATGGCTTCCCTTCTCTTAACGTTATTATTTTTTTTATGAACAGAAGGTACAAATTTTAATGTAGTTCAGTTTATCAATGTTTTCTTTTTGGATTCTGCTTTTTGTTTCTGTTATATAAAAATACTATTGACTCATTTATTGGTAATTTTTATCTAACCACCTTGCTTGATTTACTTATTAATTCCAATAGTTTTTCTATACATTAGTTTTTATTTTCTACATATGCAATCATGTAGTGTGTAGATAATGTCAGTTTTGCTTCTTTCTTTTCAATTCTTAAAATTTTATTTCTTTGTCTTGCTTTATTGCAAAGGCTAAGACCTCCAGAACGATAATGAATAGAAGAGGAGACAGGGAAAATCCTTCTTTTAGTCTCAATACTGAAAGAAAGGTATCAATATTTGAACATTAAGTATAATATTTACTAGAGGTATTTTTATAGATACTCCATCATAGTAAGGTATTCCCTTTCTATTCCTAGTTTCCTAAGAGAGTTCTTTTTTTCCTTTTATTATCACTAGGGATTTAATTTTATCAAATACTTTTTGTGAATTCATTGAGTTGATCGATGATTTTCTTCTTTATTCTGTTTCTGTGGTAGACTACATTGATTGATTTTTGACCATTGAGACAATCTTGCATTCCTGGAATAAACGCCACCTTGATTATTATATTATCTTTTTTATGTTGTGATGTACATCCTATTTATAGAGGCCTGGACTGGATCCTGTTTGATAATATTGTGTTTAGGATTCAGCATCCACGTTAAGGAGGAAGAAACGGCCTGTAATTTTTGTTCCCAGTCAGGTTTTGATATTAAGGTAACATAGTTCTCAAAAATGAGTCGAGAGGTCACTTGCTTTCTATTCTTTGCAAGGGTTTGTGTAGGATTGATGTTATTTCATCCTTAAATATTTGGAAGAATTTGCTGGTGAAGACTTCTGGTCCTGGAGTTATCTTTGCGGCAAGATTTATTCATTATGGATTTCATTTATTTTGATAGATATAAGACCATAAATTGGTTCAAAACAGCCTCTTACCTTATTTAATAGCTGTACGCTATACGATTATGTCTTCTTTTTCGTTCCTGATGTTAATTATTTATATCAAATCCTTTTTTAAAGAAATCAGTCTGGTCAGGAGCTTATCAATTTTATTAGTCTTTTTAAAGGACAATTTTTGGCTCAGTTGGTTTGGTTTGTTGTATTATTGTTTCCTACTTTACTGATTCCTGCTGTTTATTATTTCCATCCTGGGATTATCTTAAGGTTTAATTTGCTATTCTTTTACTAAAATCTAAATATGGAAACTTCTTTCATTGCGTCTTTAGCCTTTCTTCTTTTCAAATGACACATTTAAGGCTATAAATTTCTCTTAAGCATGCTTTGGCTGCATCTCATAAGTTTTGATATGTTTTAATTTTATTACCTTTTCATTCAAATATTTTCTAATTTCCATCGTGATTTCTATGTTGACTCATGAGCTGTTTAGAAATGTGTTGCTTCATTTTACATCACATAAATCCAGTCAAGGACTGAGCTCTTTAAAAATCATTCAGGCTTTCTGCAGGCTGATCTCTTCCTGAATCCACCCTTTTGGGGGGAATCTCAACTGAAAGCTGGAGGTATTTAAGCTCACCTTTCCTCCGTGCTGGACCCTGAATTCCCTTTTTGTCACCCCAGCCCCGTAAGACTCCTGGAAGCCCTGCTCAACTTCTCAGTTTCTCGTCTTGTCGATATCCATGTCTTGTCCATATCATTCTGTGTTCTTGGCAGGAAGGTAGTCTGTGGAGAGCCAGTCTTCCGTGACCACCAGGGAAAAAGCCCTGGAGGCAGGATTTACACACAGGTCTGTGCAGCCAGCACCCCAGAGCTGAAGCTGGCTCGTGGCAGGTGGAGCCCTTGGGGTGGGGACAAAATGTGGAGTTCAAAGGAACGTTAAGCCATCCTTGCCACCCAACTCTCTCCTTTGTCTTCTTCATTATTCTTGATCTAGTCCTTTGGATTAAGCATTGCCATTTATCTAACCTCAGTTTTAAAATGTGCTAAACACAAATTTTTTAATTTCTTAGTAAAATTAGTCTTTTGGGATCACTTACTTTCTGATGGTAGTTCACAGCACCTCTGCAACCCCTGCTACCTCTTTCTTAAGGTCTGAAACCAATATGTGGGGCAAACAAAAGCAGAGTGAAACAGTCCTGTAATTCTCTCTCTCCCTCAGTAGACTTGGCTAGTCCCTGAGACGAATCCTCTGCAGGGTTCACAAGGAGCTGTCCTTGAGGCTCTCCCACAGTGGCTTCTTTTCCGTCAATGTGAATGCCATAACTGGCCACATCTCCCTTTTTCCTTTGGCTGCCAGGAAGTCAAGCATGTAGAGCTAAATTTACAGCTCAACTCTAGCAACTACATCAGTGCATAGGGACTCAGCACGACTTTTCCTTCTTAGCTGGACTTCTCCCTCTTATTTCTCTTTTCCCTAGTTCTGGATTTTCTTAATTTTTATATTTTTTTACCATTTTGTTGTCTTTCTCTGTGTGTCTTTATATGAAACTTGAGTTACTTCAATTCTGTCAATCTATATAACCACTTAGAGTTTTTATTTGTGTTTAAAAATTTCCAAGTATGGAGATATTTGAAAGACAACAAAATGGATCCTGGAGAAACAGAGATATGGGTAAATACTGCAATTTCTAGAATTTTTTGCAAAATTGGGTTTTCATGAATCTTTGCCATATGTATTCTGTTGTTTAAGATTTTTCAGAACTTAATATCTATTACTTTATGTGAAAGACTTTTCACAATTAAAACCGAGAAACAGTGTTCTTTGATTAACCAGGAGCAAAGGTGGATGGACAAATCTGGCTGTACTGTCCTTTGAGCAGGAAAATATGAAGATCAATTTTACAAAGTCATGGACAAATTAAAGAAGTTAAGCGTCGAAAACAGAACTGTAGTAGACCAATATGTAAAAGTAAGTGCGTTTCCTTTTTTTCAAAAAATACATTAATGTAACTAAAAGTACTAATTCATTACATTTTTTTGTACCGTAATATTGTGGGTTTCTTTTGATGGTCATGACCATCTATAGAAAGGTCAGAAAAAGAAAAATTTCACTCTCTACTTTTCTTTTCTATCCATTATTATTGTTGTTGCACTTTTGATTATTACTAAAAAAATAGGAATAAGGGAGATGAAATATCTCCTCTGGGGGTCGGTCCACGAGGATGCTAGTGGGCACCCTGTAGGTGGTGAAAAAGTATCTGTTAAGCTGAGTTCTGGCATCTTCGTATCCTTTCCCTGCAACAGACGTCCTCATTTTGCTTTCTCAAGAATAAGCCAGTTCTTTGCAAACCTTTCCTCAGGGCCGATGCTTTTACGTTTCATCTGCCCTGGCCTTTGTTACTGAGTTCAGTCTCCTGCTCAAGTCCCCCACAGGGCCGGGCCAGCACGGGCTCTGTGCTAGCAGCTTTCTGTTTGTGATGTCCCAGCCAAGGAGCTCCAGTCAGCTGCCTGGGCCGCATTCTCAGCCCACCTCCTTCTTACTGTGTGGTCTTAAAGCAGGTCACTTCACCTCTCAGTATCTCTCTCTGTAAAACCCGGATAATAATACTTCCCAAATAAAGACAGGGTTTTCTTTAAGCCCTTTGAGCTCCTCAGAAGGAGTGCACCACAGAAATGCCCATGCTGCACTGGGACGGGCGCTGCCGCCATGTGATCAGGTAATGTGAGATGCGGCTCATTCTGCTTTGTCTGGAATGAATGCGAGCCCTGCCACAAAGCACTGGGAACTCTCGATGACATTGAAACCCCGCGGTAAGCTTGGATTGCCTTACACTCTAATAAAGCACACCAGAAAGGAGCAGTAGTTTTGACTAACCCAGTCCTCAGTTAACACTCTCATTTGCTTTCTTCTGCTGAGTACAAGACATGTAAGTAAGCCATGACCCAGTTACAGGTGGAAGCAGCACAACCATCACTTCCAGCCCACTGAGTTGGGGGAAGGGCAGGCTTCTCTGCCACATGCAGAGGACTGCCGAGGAGGAGGCAGGCCCAGACTGGGCAGAGCTGGACCTATCGCTGTGCAGAGAGGGGAAAAATCAATGGCTACCATATACTGAGTTCCTACTAGGTGCAAGAACTATACTAGGTATGTCTTTCTGTTCTACATCCTCAAGACAACTGTATTAAATTCTATTAATATTCTAAAAACAAAAACAAACAAAAAACACCACTAAACTTTATACATTTTTCACCATAATGAAAGCCTACCCCGTTGGATCCACAAGCCTAAGCCCGAAATTTTGGCCTGGGGCCTCCCCACTGATCCGAGGCTTTAAGACCACACAGCTCGGGTCTGCAAACGGCAAAGGGGAGGTCTCCTTTTCTCCTTCTGATCCAGAGCTGGCCCTGCAGCTACATGCAGACTCCTTCCTTATGAGGCCCTGGCCAGGTCTCACTTAACTTGACAAACTTTTACCCAGAACCCTCTGGTCCTAGTTTGACTAATGAAATCAAAATCCCAGTGGGTTCATTCCTCTGGCTGCTGCATCATGGCCAGTCAATGGTAAGGTCTTGGTTGTGTTTTCCTTTGAGTGGGTTAGGAGCTGTGGGTGGGGTGGGGAAGGGGTCTTAGGGAACTCTGGAATCAGAGAAGATGAAGGCAAGTGTCTTTTTGACCTGGGGTCCTCCAGGCACCTTAAGCCACGTATGTGTCATGTGCATGGAGAGAAGAGGCTGTGGAATAGATTGCTGAAAGATTTCCCTTGATAAGGGGGGGTGGGGGGGTTTGTGGAACTGGCTGCTTGGGCCACAGCCTCCAGTGGCCCCCTAGAGGCAGGGGCTTCTGGAGACCCCAGGTGAGAAGACTTCTCTGCTCCCTGGCGAGGCATCTATTGTGTTGATTGCTGGGAAACATGCTTTGTTGAACTGACACTTTATTGCTGTGCGTGCGTGCGTGCTTGTGTGTGTACGTGCATGTGATGTGTTGTTAGGGAAACCATGGAGAGAAGAGAAGCAAAGGCTTTGGATGGGGCTGCACCCCCTCGGAGTCTGGTGCTGAGTGCTGATTTCTGGGCCCTCCGGAAGAGGTTGCCTGTCATCCAGGGGACTGTTGTTCCCAGAGAGCCCTGGGCTGACTTGCTCCTGTGGGAGCTGGTGTTTAGGGAAGGGTGAAAGCAGCTGGTTTATGGTTTATCAAACAAGGTGAGCTGCAGAATCCATCACATCCCAAACATTTCTTGTCAAGCACCCTTTCATCTAGATTTCGAATGCATCTGTTTCAAAAGCAATTCGTTTAAACGGCTTATCCCCCTTACTCCTAACCCACGGGAAGCTGTAACTCACAGGCAGCAAAGAGGACTCTGAGATTTCTTCACCAAGGCTGCTGTGAGCCGGACACTGGGTGATACCGTGCGCCACCCAGGATGTGGTAGACCAGAAGTCAGGAGAGGGGCCGGTGCCCTGCAAGGAACCCCAGTGGGCAGGTATGCAGCTCTGCAATCCACTGACCTGGGTCTCAAGGCGGATAATTTTGCAACTTCCTATTCCTAACTGAGCAGCATTGTTTGTTACTTGGGACAAGTCATTAAAGTGCAGGGACAAGGACTGTGTCCTGTATTATCTTAACATCTCTTAGAATGCTGCGGGGCCTCCCTCAGTCAATGCTTCTTGAATGAGTGCTTGAATGAATGAATGAGCTCATTGTGTTGACCATAGCAAATTCAGTAGTTTCCTGCCAACTCCACAACTTCCAAAAGGAGCCCCTTGGAGGTTCCTTGCAAAGAACTTGGTACTAGGGACATGCTTATAATGCCTCCCGCTATCATCCTAAGTCTTGTCTTCCATTATCCAGACTCTAGGAGTTCTGTGAAAGAGGGAAAAAAACCCAAAAAAACTCAGGGAAAAAAACCCCTTGTAGGAAGATTCTGCTGCCGCTAGACATTAGGAAAACCACTGGTCTAATTCATTTGCTATGGCGACTTTTCCATCCATAGGACTGGCGCTGCCTGTGTAGTTCAGTCTGTGAAGGCTCCCTTTCAAGTAGACCAGCTGCTCAGCATTCCGGGCGTACAATGTGGAGGGCAGATGTGGCATCCTCTTGATACACACTTGTTGGTGGGGAGCAAAATCCAAAGGCAACCCCCCCCCAAAAAAACCCCTAACTAACGTCTTCTTTTTTTTTAACTTTCCAGATCTGAGTACCCATCTGGAGACTTCATTAGGATCGTAAGACATCTGGGGACCAGCAATGGAAGAAACTCGCTTATGTTGAGTGCCTATTATATGCTTGCATTGTGCTAAGCTCTTTCCCATATGTCATCTCATATAATCCGCCACGAAAACCCTGCCAGAGTGGAATTATTATTTCCATTTTACAAATGAGAAAACAGAAACTCAGAGAGGCAGAGTTACTTGCCCAAGGTCACATAGATGGGAAGTGGTGGTTCCTGAATTTTAATCAAGATGGTGGCATCACAAGGGGTGGTTTGGAAAGCTTTCCATGCAGCCATCGTCTCCAGCAGCCCCCTGCCCTCCAACCCCCTCCCCTCCAAATAAATACACAATCTAAGTCAGGGGACAAAATGAAGCTTCAGTATATGTTCCCTTACCACCTCGGTTTCAATGAGATTGCTGTCTACACAGACATCCTGCAGTCCACACTAAACCAAAATTTGTCTGGCTCCGAAGACCATGTTCTTCCCAACACAATCAGGATGCTTGCTCTCTTAGCCTCCTACCAAGAAGACCTTTGTTTTCTTAAAAACTTTACCCAGAAGAGCCAATCAGTCAGTGTAGGATTCCCCTAATGGAGCCTGGCACCATAGGTTCCAAAATGTCACCAGCCTGCCCGAAGTCACCAGCCCATTAAATGCCCTGCACTTCCCAGGGTACACTGATGCATTGCATCCTGGTGGGTAAGCATCATTGGCATGAAGAAGCATGGGGCTAACGGTGTGGATTAGAGTTTCAGTTTACTTTGAAACATCCATTGGCCAAGGTCCAGTTCATTTTGGGTTCCAACTAATTTTTTTCAGCCTCTAAATGTAGAGACCAGGAGCGTTTAGCATGGCTGTCCGGACACAGGCTATTCCCCGAGTGCTACTGTACCCTCCACCCTGGAAGTGAGAAACAGACTGCAGGTTGAGGTCAGCCAGGGTCTCATATTCCAGACGGGAATTAGTTTTCAGAGACTAAATGTTCACCAGTGAACATCGTGTCATGGGCCAGCTGGAAAAGATAAAAACAAGCTAAGATTCCAGGAATCCAGAATTGTAAATAGGTATAAGCACCTTCTATCTCTTCCCTCCTTCCCTCAGAAGGTTATACCTAATACTACTAATAATTTACATTAACAGATCTCCTTATAATTGCAAAGCATTTCACACACAGGACTCTGGAGAAGAATTGGAGACCTCAGAATGTTAAGGACTTTACCCAAAGTCACGGGGCTGGTAAGTCATAGCAATGACAGGCTCAGATCTGCAGATTTTGTGCCTCTCTCCATCAGATCCGAAGTCATTTATTTCAGTGCCTGTGTTCTCCCTAAAAGGGCAAAGGGCGAGTGTGACTTTTGACGAGCCTAGGTGGTTTCACTGTCCTGGCAGGTTGCCTTAGCCTGATAAGACCTGGGGCTTCAGAATTTAGCTCAACACTTCTTCGCAGCTACACGGCCATCCCATGCAGGCACCACCCCTGGTCCCAGGAGTGGACACAGCCTCTAGGGTAGAGGTGGCTTCTTCTGGTAAGCCACATGCCAGGTCATCTGAAGCTGCTTGGTTGGCCACCATGAGATGGAGCTGACGGAGGCAGAGAAGAGAGAGATAGTGTCCGGGCTGAGCGATGATCTCTGTCAGTTTCCGACTGACCAACATCCTCTAGCATCCATCAGGCCAACAGGAGGCTGAGAAGGTGGAAGTCCCGGAGGTGGCATTCCCAGCCAGTAGGAAGCTCCCAGGAGCTGAGTAGGCTGCGTGCTGGATGGGGCAGGGTTCTTCACCCTTTCCCACACTTTGGTCCTGCCCAGGTCAGCTCGGGGGCTGCTGTGAGGCACGGGGGCAGTCAGCCAACTCAGGGAGACTGCAGGCAGCTACCCACCCCCCCACCATGGACAGAAGCTACCTGGCACCCCAAGGATGTGGGCCCCAATTCCTGCACTTCGTGCTGATGGGCAGATGCCCCTGGAGGGCGGCAGCCCCTCGGGGCCTCTCCCCTGCCTACCCTTTATCCCGGGAGCTCTGCTCCGTAGACAAGCACCCCTTCCTCCTTCAGCCAATGAGCTGCTCTTCTGATTTCAAAATCCTTGACTTCCAGTGCCCGACATAGAGTGGGTTCAAATATTAAGTGAATAAATGGACAAATACCTCATGTCACACCCATAAAGTTCTGTGGGGTGGGCATTCTTATTCTTACTTTTCTGGGGATGAGCGATGTGCTCCTGGTCTTGGGGCCTGCAAGTTGCAGAGCTGGGACCCAAAAGAAGGCTTCTGCTTTCTGCACCCTGAGGGGGCCCCTCATCGACCCAGGCATCAGTTCAAGGCATTGTTGGGGTCCGCAAGGACCCAAAGGCGCCCCTGTGTGCACTGCCCCTGAGGAGCCCTTTGCCTCAAGTCAAGATACGCAGCAGATTCTGAGAGGCTGGGAAACAGCCCAGGAATGGTGGGAGTTCCAGGGAATGCTCCCAGTGTCTTCCCTGTGGGTAAACGCGGCCTCTCCTGGTCTGGGCTGCGACACAATGTCACCTGCTGAAGGGGCGACTTGTTGGAGCAGTGGATTGCAGCCCTGGCTGCATGCCGGAGGAAGCCCACTGAGGGGGCCTGGGAAATGCCCCTGGGCCTTTGCTCAGAGCTGCTCCAGGGGTCATAGCCCGGCTCTCAGGAAGTGCCCTGCTCTTCAGATGGAGGTTTCACTTCCGGCCAGCAGCCCTCCTCAGCGCTGGCTTCCTGTCCCTGCTCCTTGCCAGGCCTTCCCCCAGGTTGTCTCAGAGCCCTCTCAGCCCTGACCACACCTCCTCCTTCACAGCCCCAGGCCCCCCAGCCTTCCAATCCTTCCAGAAACCCCGTCTGTCTGCATCGGGGTCTCCTACACTCTTGGACGTGGGATTGGTAAAATGTGCTCCTTCCTGACGTGGTTTCCTCTTTCATTTGCAGTTGAAAACCGTGACCACGAAAGCCTTCCACAACCCGCTGTAATCGGCACTTGCATAATGGGGCTGGGGACAGCGTTTGGGGGAACCAGGGGGGGCGGCTGTGTTTTTCCAACACTTGTGAGATTCATTTTGGTGAAGCAAGAAAGTCTGACCGAGTCCTCTCAGACTTGGAGAGAGGAAGGCGTTTCCCGGGAGGGGGGCCAACTCATAAACCTGCCCTTTCTCCTTCGCCTTGTGCTGCTCACGGCCCTTTCCTCTCTGCCTAAGGGGGAGTTTTGACATCTGTAGATTCCTCTTTCTTTGCTTTGCGAGATGGCCTGTATTTATCCAACTTAGCAATAAGGTTAAACACACAGACCCTGGAGTCGGATCCCGGTGGCACCACTTACTGGCTTTGTGACCTTGGGCACGTTATCGAACCTGACTCGACTTCCCCATTGTAAAATGTGGGACAAGCATAGTACTTACCTCATAGGGTTGTTATAAGGGTTAGATGAGCTCATACACAGAAAGCCTTTAAAACAGTGCCCAGCGCCATACTTGCTATTGCTACTGTCTGCTACGCTTCTCTTTCTGGGTCTCCACTTTGCACAATTATTTGTCAACATCTGAGATTGTCAAATTCTCAGTGGCCAGTCAGGCTGATTCCCCTGCGTTGTGTGTGTACTGGGCCTGTCTCCCTTTCTGGAACTGAGCAACACCTCCCCAGTCTGTCCACTACAGAGGTCAATGTAGTACCTTAGCTGCTCCTGGTAGAGAGGCCTTAGGCAGAGACAGAGAACCGAGACCCTCGCAGCCACGTGCGTTTGCGATTGCTCGCAGGAGTGGGTGCCGTCACTTGTCGTTTAGTGCAGGCCCAGATTATGGCTCCCTTCAGCCATCCTGTCGTCTCCTGCCTGGGTGAAAGGTCAGTGTGCTGAGCACCCTCGAGCAGGAAGTGACTTGGTTTCCCATGGGAGACCCAGAGCTCGCCGGCTTCCCCAGCCTCCTAGCCACCGGGTGCCAGCACTGCTGCCGAATCAATCCAGGGAGCTCACTGCCCAGCAAAGCACAACAAACCCTGCAGGCCTGGGTGGCCTGTCCCTTTTGAAAATAACCAAACCTGCATGCGTGTTTGGCCAGGTGATTCAAATGACGTTAGGCAGCCAAAGCAACTGAAATGTGTCAAAAGTGACTCAGTCAACACAGCCGGCTGGTGTTAAGCTATAAAACATGGGGCCAGGTTATGTGCCAGGAGCATTTCATTTCATTCAAGCAGAGTAGGTGGGAAGGACCTCCGGCACATGCCCCCCGGGGCGCCCTGGCGGCAGGCAGTGGCGGCAGCCGGCCTCTCGCGGGTCCCAGCTGTGCCAGAGCTGACCTTCTTCCACGGAGTGGCCGCCCCTCCTCTGGGCACTCCAGCTCTGCACTGTGACTCACTCTGCACCGTCTGGCACACTGCTTCTCCAGTAGCGCGAGGGGACAAGAGAGAGGCTTGAGGAGACACGGATGCCGCAGACACAGTGTGCCATCTCTCAGGACCTGTGTGCCTGGGACACACATGCTGGCCCTGAGGCCACGTGGTGCCCCACTCCTAGACCTAACAGCACTCTCTTGAGTAATGCTTCACGCTGTCAGTCCATTTGCCCTCTGGACTCTGGGAATTGTGTGAGGAGCATGAGTGGTCAACAAGGCTCCTGGCCTGCAGGGGACCTCCTCATTAAGAAGTCCATTTTGATGATGCTGTTAATGCTAGCTGTAATGATATGAAAAGCAGCAGTAATGGTAGCCACCACTGCGGAGGTCCTGCGGAGTACCAGCTGTCGTGCTGTCCTGTTCTAACAGCACAATCGTCTCTTCTCAGCATCCCCGTGATGCAAGGCCTGCCGTTTATCTCCACTTCGCAGTTGAGGTAACTGAGGCTCAGCTAAGCTAAGCGCCTTGTCAGAGGTACAAAGTAAGTAAGTGGCTGAGCTGTGATTCAACCCCAGGCCTGTCCGATGCCAGAGAGCGTCCTTTCTCCACTACGACAGGAGGCCTCCTCTCCTCTCATGGTGCTCAAGGTTCTGGGGAGAACCAGACAGATTTCTGGGAGAGTTGCAAGAAGGTGACTGTTCCAGTTCCGTAATGGGAGAATCAGCTCCGTCACGGGGACAGGTGTCATGACTCAGATGTCAGAACTAAGGGTTTCCTACAACTTTGACATGAGGGTGCTTCTCCGCTCCTGCTTGCTGCCCTCCTTGGAGAAGAACAATCTTTTCTCCCCCATAGCCACTATTTTTCAAACATCACTTTTAATTTGGGGCACCCTCTCTGTGGGAGATTGCAAAAATTAAATCGTTTTTAAGCAACCAAACAACACTTCTGGGGTTTGTAATAGACTTGTGAAATTTGCGGAACTTGGCGGTTGAGGTTCTCTCAGTCCTGCTTCCCGGGGCCCTGAGGAGCTTTAGGCTGGCTCTTCCTTCTCTCTGGTTTAGAGCTTGTCTTGCCAACTGGGGCCCAGCCATTGCATCTTGAGCTAAGGAGGCTAGGACTTTATAAACAATCAATCAGGAGCTCCGGGAGGCAGCCCCCGATCTGGGCTTCTGGCCCTGCCCCTCCGTCATTGCAGGAAAGTCACACAGGCCTTAGGTGGGTGGCTGGTCCTTGTTTGAGGCCAGCCTTGTTCATTTCCACAGGGCTTGGCTGCTGAGGAGGGCACAAACGGTAGCCAACTTCCGCTTGTAATGGTTCGCTCTCTGACCTTCCATCCAGTGACTCCAGGGCCCCCTGGAGGGTAGGACCACACTCCAACTTATGGCGCTCTATTTCCTCTCCTCTGTGAAGTCCCCTCCACTCATGGAAAACAGCAGCAAGACGATTTCCTTGCATCAGCTGTCCCTGGGCTTGTCTTGTCATGGTCTAAGCTGAGCACGAGGGGTGGTTGTGTTTCTGGCTCCTCCAAACTCTTAGCTGGACACTCAGCTTCACAAGCCAGGACTCAGATGGCGTCAAGGCCAGAAGGATGAGCAGAACTGTCTAGTTCACCCTGCCCCGCTTACCTCTTCATAGTAAAGAACCTGGAATCTGGGTCAGAAGGTTGGATGCTAACCCTGTCTCTATCCTGCACCAGCCGTAGATATGTTCTGTACCTTTTCCTCACCTGTGTAGCAAAGCATGTAATAGTATCTACCTCATAGAACTGAAGACACGTGAAGTGCTAAGAACCATGCCTAGCAGACAGTACATGTACATTATAGCAATCACATTATTATAGACGAGAAACTGTGTCATACTCAGGGAGACTAACAGACCCCAAGAATCCCACAGACCGTCACAGAATAATAGCCCCGGAAGATATCCACATCCTGATTCCAGAACCTGGGAAGGTGTTAAATTACATGGTGAAGGGGAATGAAGGTTGCAGAAGGAATTAAGGCTGCTAATCAGCTGACGTTAAGATAGGGAGGTCATCCTGGAGTTTCCAAGTGGATTCAGTGTAATCACACGGGTCCTTAAATGTGGAAGGAGGCAGAAGGAGGAGAGTCAGAGAAGATGTGACTCCAGAAGAAAGGCACCGAGAGAGCAACCTTGGTGGAGTAAGGAGACCATGAGCCAAGGACCATAGGTGACCTCTAAAAGCTGAAAGAGCAAGGACACGCATTCTCCCTAGAGCTTTCAGAAGGAACCCAGCCCTGCCGCCCCTCAATTTTAGCCCAGGAAGACCTGTATCAGACTTCTATCCTACAGAACTGTCAGATGATAAATGTGTGTTGTTTAAGCTGCCAAGTTTGCGATAATTTGTTACAGCAGCATAAGGGGACTAATTCACAGAATTCTCCTTTTTATGTCCCCTGTGCTGCCTCTGTGACTGACCTCAGCTGCTTAGAACCCCCCTACAGTCCCGTACAATGCCGTTCTGAGGAGTACACATTTCTTGAGCAACCCTTCCAAGAATATGCGATGTTACCAGCTCTCTGATATCTCTGGAGCTGTTTACTACAAGTCCAGGATTTTCCTCCATCAGCGGATTCTTTAGGTTCTCTTAGGAATGGGAGGCAGCTAGCATTTGTGACAATAGAAGTATTGTGTAATACTTGGCCTGCTTCTGTGGCTTACACAGCTCCCAACCGGGTCAGGGGTCTTACCAGAAGATTGGACTAACAACGCTCAAGGCTGGGCTTCCATTTCCCAAATGACTCCATCTCTTTAAGAAAACTGTCAATAACAATAAAAACATTGGAGCAAAACGGATTCTTGGATGAATCCACTGCCCTCCCATATCACCCGCTGGTAACATCAGAGGCCCATGTTCTAGAAAGACTTCCCTCCCCATAGAGGACGCTGAAGTCTCCCACTGGGTGCTGGGCCATGAGGCCAAGTTGGTTGCCTCCCCCTGGGGGCTGACTGTCTTCAGAGGCTCTGAGCGCCCGGGGAGCCAGCGCAGCCCTCCTTGGGCCTCCTTCCTTTACCAAACAAGGTTAGGACTTACAACTTCTTTCACGGAAACATCTGGCTCATTTCCCTCAAGTCTTTCTTCTTCTTCTTTTTTTTAATCTTTCATCTAAAGTCATTTCACTTCAGTTGAACTCTGCGTCTTTTTTCCCTCTGCGTTCTTCTGGCCTTTGGAGACAGCGAAGCAGAAGAGTAAGAACTCATCACCCACAGCTAACGACTTGGGTTAGAAGTGAAAGCGCTGGCAGGGACCTGACTTCTTTATTTCTCTTTGGCCACAGAGCCACAAGGCTGGGTCCCCAGCGGGCCGCCCGAGGACATCTTGTTGCACCATCTGCTTGTCCCCACCACCTCTACCAACCGCGGGGCTCTGGTTGTTGTTGTTGCTGATTTTTTAAAAAAAAATTTGTTGGTTTTATAAATTCGCTAGCTCTGTACTTTTTAGACTCAGCTTGCTAGCAGAAAAGCAAAGCCAGGGCAAGGAGAACAAACAGAGAGGGCTGGCAGAAGACTGGGCCACACGTAGCAAGGCCACTGAGCGCGGGCGGGGAGGGGTGCCGGCCAAGCGCCTCAAGACGCATCTGAAAACTTCTCATGGCCTTAGGGTTTAAAATACCCACACTTCCTGCTCCTCGGAGAGGGTATGCACAGAATGCGAGTGACTCACCAGTGGTGGTTTTCAAATGTGTCTGTCATAAGGAGGTTTCATCAAACGCTCATCCTGTCTCAGATGTTATTTTTTCCACTCTCAGCTATGCAGTGCTGTAAAAGCGGAATGCTTAAAACCAGTGTTTGTTTTGAGTGCAGAAAGTGAAGGACGAATTAATTGAGCTGCAGCAAGTAAAAACCCAACTCTTAAGAAAAAAAACAATGTGTAAACAGTGTGGAGATTGAGTTTCAAAGCCCTTGTTTTCAAAAAGTTTAATTATATTTCAACTAAGGCCAAACTGTCAAAACACGGGAGGGTGATCTGCCTGCTTTGAAAATGCATTAGCCTCCTTATGTAAAAGCCCATAATGGATATCAGAGACGAAACCGGAGCTGAGCGCGGAAAGAGGACGGCCTCTCAGAACGGCTCCTGTGGGCGCTTCCCTATCGACCATGTGCGACTCTTCAGATGTCGGTTCGTGAAGTGGGAAATTGGAGAGGAGAACAAAGGGAAGGCACTGAACGAGAGGGGTTAATTAAGACATCGGCCTGGATACGGAACGTGTGGGCCCAGCGCGTGGTTCATCGTCATTTACATAAGAGGAGACCTGGTGGACAGCCTCCCAATCTGAACAGCAGCGTCATAAGTGACAGTAGGCGGCACCTTCTTCCTCCCAAAAAGCTTGTCTGCCACCTGTGCTGCCCTCGGGGCTGAGGGTCCCTGTCTAGGCTGGTTTCTAGGTCACCTCTCTTCTCCCAGACCCGCCACCTCCTCCAGAAAAGGATCCTGGGTGGTTTGCCCTCCTATCTCAGCTCCCATTCCTGCCTCTCCTTTGGTGATCTTCTGGAACTTTCTAGTTCCCAGTGCAGAGATTCTTAATCTTACTCTTTTGATGTCTGAGAGTTCTTTATCTTCCTAAACCATTCTCAGATCAAACTAAACTTGAGCTAAGTGAAAGTTAATGGTGCAAGCCATATACCACACATTTGGTAGGGAGAGGTACGCATCAAAGCAGACCAGGACAGGATGGGCAGACCAGGAATTACTGCTCTAAGATTTGGGTTCCCAAAGGTGGCCACCATCCTTCCTCCTCCTCCTTCTGTCAAGCCACTAGCCTCTGGGCAGGCCAGGTTCATCTGGCAGGCCCTTGGCCTCCACCTATCTCTGTCGTTTTCCCCTTGGATGCTGATGTTTTGAAGCAAGCCCAGGTACCTGCAATGTGGATGCCCTTAGGACTTAAAATCCTCTTTCCTCTTTCTTCTTCTATCTTGTGTCACTAGACAACCGTCATTCTCTTTCTTCCTTCTTCCTGGTTTTGCTGCTCTCCCCCAGATGTGGTACATTCCACGTAACCCACTGTGGGGGAGGGTGGACTTGTTGGTTTATGGTCTGGGACTCTGTTGACCTCAGAAAAGAGTTGCCAGATAAAATACAGGATGCCGCTTAATGTGAATTTCAGATCAACAACAAATCATTTTTAGTGCAAATATGTCCTAAATGTTATGCTAAAAAAAAAGTATGTCCCATGCAATATTTAGGACATAGTTACACTAAAAAATTGTGTGTTGTTGATCTCAAATTCACATTTAACTGGGCATCCTGTATTTTCATTTGCTAAATCTGGCAGCCCTTCTGGAGCCCCTTGTGTTCTAAATGAATGTGGGCTCCACAAGCCATGTGAGGGAGTGGGTTCTAATCCGGATCAGAGCCTGGTGGGGCTGTGTGCTCCCTGCAAGGCCCCAGTGAGTGCAACCCACTTGTTGAGTCCTCCCTTGTCCTGTTCTGCGTGCGGGGGTGCTGTGTCCACACCTCTGTCGGTCACAGCACTGGAGTTATTAGTCATGGTTCTGGTCCTAAGAGCCTTTTCTGGCTGAGGCCGTGTTTGTTCATCTGTGGGCTTGGCATCCAGCAGGTGCTCAGTACGTGCAGGCAGAACTGGTGGCATGGGAAGGAGAAGGTGATACGAGGCTCCACAGGCCATGCCTGGACAGTGGAGCCAGACCTTTGACGACACCCAAATGAGTGTGGAGCCAGTGGAAGCCACCACGCAGCTCACATAATGAGAGCTTTCTCCTTTCTTATTCCAGACAGTTTCGATTCTTGAAAAAACTCGCTTTTGGGAAGCAGCAGAGGGTGCGGGAAACTCAGAAAGCGGCCGCGAATGGAAAACAGGAAAGGAGCGCCTCTAATTAGAAGCAGCCAGCTCCCGGCCCCATCTGCGGCCCTCGGAATCCAGCTGGGAAGGGAAGGCCGCTCCCTGGCCGGCCAGCCGGCCGGCCGGCGCTGTGGGCAGGCAGCCTGGGCAGGCCCCGTGGAGGAGCGCTCGAGGCCCCCCGAAGAGGAGGGTCGGGGTTTTGTCAGGCCCTCTCCGCAAGACGCCTTCACCCTCACACCTCTGCCAGGTTCCTTCCTCCCCACCAGAGCCGACGCTGGGCTCTGAGCGGGGTGCCCAGATGCACTGAGTGTGCCTCTGCTCAGAACTGCACAGAGACACGGTCTGTCTCTTTCATCACAGACCGGAAAACCCCCTTTCAAGTTCTCCAAGAAATGGTCTCAGCACTAGACATTTACTGTTGGCGCCACGGTTGGACTCTGCGTTTCCAAGATATTCGGGTATTAACATATACATTAGAACACAGCCATGTTGTGTGATGGGTCAGCAGTATTGTATTTATTTTATAGATCCAAGAGAAGGCCCAGAGATGGTGAACAACTGGCTCACGGTCACACAGCAAGTCATTCATTCATATAATATACGAGTGTTAGGTACAATCACGGTATTAGAGAAAGGAAGATGAAGGAGATACTGTTCTTGGTAAAATTGTAAGGAAAGCAGACACATCTCAAACCAACAGGAAGACGGTGGGGAAAGGGACAGGATAGTGGCATGCGAGAAGTATGAATCACACCAAGAGCGGGAGAGAGTAATTTTGCTGGGCAGGGGGGCATGAGGGAGGATGGTGAGCCATGGCACTGAGGTTACAGGCCAAAGCAGGTGTGTCTGGTGCCGCGGTGATGCCTCCGGGTCATGGCTCTGAGACATCAGGCAAATCGTGGTGGTCCAAGGGCCAGCTGGCCTGTGGCCATGTGGTATGCACAGAGGAGCAGAGGGCAAGCAGCAAGGAGGCCCGAGCCTAGTGTGGCCTCTGACATCAGCAAAATTCGGACAGGTCATCTTACCTCTCAGGACCCTCACCTGGGTTTCTCATCTGAAACGGAAGGGGACTGGATTTGGTGATTTCTGAGATCTCTTTTCATTCTAACATTCCAGAATTCACTGTGAAGCCCCAAGCTCTAGACCACAGACCGCTGCCTTGACTCAACCTTTCACCACTTTAGGCTCAGCGTGGGCCGTGGAGACGAGCATTCAATGACTCGTCTGGTATTTCCTGAGTCCCTACTGTGTGCAGGGCTGCCGTGCACATAGAAAACAAGTGCTCTTCTTGGGGCTGCATTCTTGCTGGTCCCTGCACACTCGCTCACCGTCTCTTCTCCTCCCTGAAGTGCGCACGAAAGGATGTCTGGGTGGCTGCAGACAGAGAGCCTCAGCAAGTCCTCGCTTTGATCTCAGCAAAGTTGCTGCAGCTCTGGCGTGCTCAGCTCCTCCTCTGTGCGTGGGAGCCGATTTTGACACAGAACAGCATAAGCACTACGCTGCTGAAGAGATTTTTCCAAAGGCTCGGTCAGGGACTTAGGGCAACACCGGTAGGGACAGGCTCCCCCACCGGACAGTCAACCCCCTGCCTGTGGGCGACAGAAAGTGCACGTGGCACCCAGAATGGGCCCTTTTCACGGGGAGCGCTCAGGGAGGAGTAGTGACCTGGGCTTTGCTACGCTGATGTTTGATGTGAAAGACTCAAAGGAAAATTTAGCCCTTTAGGGAAAAGGCATTCATTAGACCCAGGAGCACAGGAAAGGCCCAGAGGGAGGCAGGGGAGGCCAGTGGCAGTGGTGAGGCTATACTCTCCCAGAGCCTGGGGCTTTCACTTCCTCCTTGGGTGCATTAAAATGCTAGATCACAAGCCAATTCCTCACCATTGGAAGAGATGGCTAGGGGACTACGCATCCCGCTCACCTGGACAGTCCGATCCCCGCTGTTGTCCTGGCGTAACTATGGAGAGCTCCCCCTTTCATCCTCAAAACCGCCTTGTTTGAACAATATATTGTATGATCATCCTTGAAAAACTGAACTAAATAGAAAGCCCAAGTGACTACAATGTTCTGAGACGAATGCCCAGCTTCTGCCATGTGACCAAGCACTGGCCCCCTGGCTGCAGCAGCTTCTTTCCCAGAAGCTCAAAGCGCTCCTCAGTTAGGACCATTTGTCATCAGGTCTTACCACTTCCCAGGGCCAGGTTTACACTCAAGTTTTGGCCCTGCAACAGAGATTTTTT